TTTGTGCTGTGCTTTAACCCGCTGCACCACCAGGGAGGGCCACCATCCATGTTGTCTTAAGTGGCATGCGTTTGTCTTTTTGATCACTAAATAATATTCCATTGCATAAACATGCCACAACTTTTTGATCTATTCGTCTGTTTTGGGGCATTTGGGTGGCTTCAGTATTTTAAGCTTGTTATATTCACATTAGCACTTTTCCTGGAAATTCTAGATTCAGAATTTAGGCTAGTATCTAGAAATATTTTAGTTTAGCTCCTCTGTGTACATGACTGTCTTCTAGTCCCATCTAAAACACATCTAACCACTGCACTTATTTCAATACTCTTTGAAATGCTTCTTTTTCTTTGCACTTTTAGAAATACATTTTACTCTCGCTGCTGTGGGTGTGAAGGAGTCTTGTGGCTATTGCTGTGTGCGTGATGTGTTAAACCCGGTTTCTCTAGCTTTGTTTTGAGAGGAGATACACATTTCTTTCTGCTGCTTCACTTCTGGGGGTTGCTCTGGTTGTCAACAATACCTGGCAGGGCCAAAGTTCATTGAAGAGGTTATTTAAATATACTGCCCTGTGGAGGAGAGCTGTCAGGTCTTGTATTGTTGTCTTTGAGTTATTTTTGAGGACAAGGGAAGTGAGAGACCCACGCAGAGGCAGGCTGAAGCCGGTCCTAGAATAACAATTGTTGCAGTGAATCCTTTCAACTGGAAAACAGATAAGTGAACAAATAGCAAAGGGTATAGCCCTATTCAACAAAAGCATGAATTTAAATTTAATTTATTATTACTTGTATTACTTGGAAGAATTCTTAGCAACCCAGCTTACTCACTTCTCAACTCAGTGTTTATTGAGTTCTTTCTTAATAAGAACCATAGATACTTACTAACACAGGGCGAGTCACAATCTTGTAGGAAGCTCTTTGAAAGATGTATAGCTCTGCTTAAGCAAGGATCGTGATTCTGAAAGTCTGGAATTTGTAGTTTTAAAAGCCTCAAAATTCTGGTTGCCTGGGGCTAGGGTTAGGTTAAGGATATACTAGAGATATGGGGGAGCAAGCAAGGGAGGGTCATGCCATGGATTTTTTAAATTTTGCAGTGTTGGGTAAGTTCTAAATAACTTTGTGATGATGGTTGAACAATGTTGTGAATATACTAAAGTCCAGTGAACTGTACATTTTAAGTTACGAATGTTATGGTATGTAAAATGTACCTTGATAAGGCTATAAAACAAAGCAAAATAAAGCAAACAAAGGCTCCCCCCCCACTTCCCCCAAGAACATACCCTGATGGTTCTGTCTGATGCCACCTCTGTTTGAGAACCACAGATCTTCTCCTAAAGCACATTTCAAGTATGAGGATACTTAGCTTTCTGGAGCAAACATGCTCTTTCTGGATAGCAAGTCATAATCTGTGACTCCCCCCCCCAGACATATAGAAAGGAAGAATTTATAGTCTTTAAGAAATAACTGGTCATCTTCTCACCCAAGAAAGCTGATGCTGAGTTAGTTACTCCTATCAAACTGTTTCATCTCAGGGAGCAAGTTTTCAACAAACCTCATGTCAAATCATTGCTCTTGGTGAAAGAGGCTCCCTCACTTGTGACCTGCCTACAGTGCCCCCAGGCCTGAGGCCTGCTTGGGAACCCCATTTTGTCCCTGGAGCTGCAGGTTTGCCCTGAGCTAAGCATCTGCCTGGCAGTGACTCAGGTGACTCTGCAGCCTCGGGACAAAGTGACTTGTCTCTCTGTGTGGACAGCTTTCCTTTTTATTATATTTATTTATGATACAAATGTTATATTTATTTTCTGTTTTGAGGCAACAATAAAGTGGTGAGGGCAAATGAAAAAAGTCAGCATTTTGTGGTGTAAATAAATTCTGCCTCATGACTGTGATCTTTAGAGAAATATTTCCCTCTGATGCTCCCATCTTTGTAATTACAGAGGAAATAGTTCTGTATTTAAAATTCTGCCCCTGAAAAGCTAGCTATCACTGAAGCTCCTTTGTTATCATTAGTAATGAACAAAATTGTAACATTATGGGGCTATTCCTCTTGGGTCCATCTTTCTCCCTATGGACTGTTCTCATCATTGTCCCATACCTTCTTTACTCTAGATTTTCTGTGATGTCACCCACCCTCTCTAACAGGTCCTTCCATTTGCCTGCACAAACATTTGAACATCCAGCCTGGAGCTGTCTCCAGCCACCGCCCTTTATGTTTCTTGTACGTCAGAATCAAACTTCTTTAAAAGTTGTCTCCATCTCTAGCCTCTCAGTCACTCTCTAACCCCCTCTAATCTGGCTTCTTCCCCCCACTTTAATACCTGGGGGCTGGCCCTCCCTGCTGGTACAATGGGTAAAGATGCAGCACTGTAAGGTAGCCTCAGCGACTTCAGTGTGAGTTCGATCCCTGGCCCTGGAGGTGACCTACATGGCGCAGCAGACCTCTCCTGTCTCCTTCAGCAGTGTACTCATCAATCTGCCTGTTCTGCTCCCCACTCTGTCTTTGGTGAATCCTCTCACTACCTCTGCTCCTCTGGCCTGTACCCTAGTTCTGTATGCATAAATAACTAAACCTTTAAAATAAAATACCTGAGGACCCCTTTCCAGGGAATCACTTTTTGGTCCTTCTATATCTCATTTAGTGTTCTCGCAGCTGTTTGCGCAAGCCACCCCCTCGTCCTTGAAGTACTCTTCCTTTGACACCCCCTCTGGGGTTTGTCATTTTTATGGCAGCTCCTTTTCAGTCTCCTACATCAGTTCCTTCTTTTCTATGTACCTTTGCATGTAAAGATTCCTTAAGGTGCAATCTCTCCTCTCTGCTTTTTTCCCCTTTATCCTTCTCCTTAAAAGAGTTTATCTCCTGGACTTTACTTATGATACATATGTGAGTGAACCCCAGTTTTATATCTCCAGCGGACCTTTCCTTCTGCTTCCAGTGCTACCTGTCTGGCTGCCCACCTGATTGCACCACTGTGTGACAGGCCTCTAGTACGACTTGTCCAAACCAGATCCCTGACCTGCCTCTCCAGTTCTGGTTCTTAATATTTCTGGGTGTAGTTATGGGAGCACCATTTACCCAGCTGCTCAAGCCAGGATCTTGGCTTGCTCTTCCTTCCCTGAACTTTCCATCTGCTCACAGTTATTTTTTTTTATTAGTAGTATTTATTTATTATTGCTGCCATTGCAATGAAGATAAAGTTCCAGATCCTCCCTTTGGCCGTGTCTTCTGATCTCGCCCACATGAAGCTCCTCTTACAGCCATCTGACCTTCTGGTCCCCAGGTTCCCACAGGTTCCTCCCCCACCTTTCTCAGCCCCTGCCTGGCTGGCTTCTGCTCATCCTTCAGTTTTTTACTCAGCTCTTCATATGCTCCTTTGGCAGCCCAAACTGCTTAATGGCAGCATCCAGAGGATCCTTAAATTATTACTCATGTTGTTTTGTTCAGTGTCTGTGTCCTCTGCTCTGGGTGGGCCCTTTGTGGGCAGCAACAGCCTTCCCATGGTCACTGATGTGTCCCAGTTCCCACCCGAGGCCCAGCAAGGAAAGAGAAATGGTTGTTGGCCTGTTTTGATAAAATTTGCAGAGAAGAGAGTGCCTGATTGCTCTTTGTACTTCCTTCCAAGATCTTCCCTTTTTGTCATAAGCAATTATCTGAAATGTCTCAGATAAATGTTTCTCACTCTGCTCAGCGAATGTCTTAGCTATGTGTTTCTCATAAGCCCTCACTCTCAGTGCTCACTTCCAGACTTCTCATCTTTTTGTCCTTTCTGAACCTTCTATCAGACCACGAGGAGACAATTATTTTGTTATAATTTGGGGTTATCACCTGCCATTTACTGAAATTTGTAGTGGTGTTCTATTATACAGCAATTCGACTACATTTAAGATAAACTCCCCCCCCCCCTAACCCCCCCGGTTGTAGGGGTGAGTTTATTGTTAAGCCTTGGTTGCATTCTCAACTTTGAGAATGCAACAAAGGCTTAAGAAGAGATGGTAGACATCCTCTCAGATTTTTCTATCTTAAAATAGGGTTCTCCTACATGGGTGATTTGGGTGATGGGAAGCCCACAGGTGTTACAACTGAGATGGAAAAAGGCAACAAAATGATATAAAAATAAACCATTATATTATTAAAAAAAATAGGGTTCTCCTATACTTCGGACTTTGTCTTGCTTTTTTCACTTAACCTCACCCTGACATTTCGACATAAATCCTGTAAAGTGGGGAGAAACCTAGTGGAAAAACCAAACATCAGGTTTGAACAAATAAGCCTGGCCAGTCACTTACAGCTGGAGCGGTCCCTGCAGACAGGAGGAAGGACAGTGGCAGCTGTCCCTGGACCTGGGCCTGCCTCTGCAGGGCTGACCTCTCTGTCCCCTAGCTGTCTGCCCAGCTCTGCCCTGTCCTGTCCGCGCAGTCACTGACATTTCTCCTCCTCTTGCTGCTTGACAACAACAGAACAAAACAGTAGCAAAATACTAACATGCCTGGCTTTTCCAGCATATTGCTCTCTGTTCTGGTGTGTTCCTTAAGCCAGAGTTCTTTAAATTGAGTGTGTGTAGGTCCTCTTGTACAGTCTGACTGTCAGTGTTTGTTGGTATCTGTTTTTGTGAGTTTTTATGGCAAGACAAGAGGCCTTGTTTATTTTGCTTTGATAGTGCCGACATCTATTTTAATAATGGGGTACCCAATTAACATGGTTGCTGTTTTTTTTATTTTTTAAAAATTATTTTAGTTTTAATAATTTTTTATTGAAGTATAATTCTTTCATATATTTAATTGAAGTCATATTGCATTTTTACATTATATAAGTTTCAGAGGTGCCTCATTGAAGCCCAGTGATGTATATGCTACAGTACATACAATATATATGTCTTTTTTTTTTTAATCTAAGGAAAATGTCTGGCAGGTCCTAGACTCCATTTACAATTGTCTTTTATTTTTTTGTCCATGCCTTTATTCAGCACACATTTGTTTTTGCCTGTTACGGGAATAGGCAGAGTTCCTACTCTCATAGTCTAGTTGGTTATTAGGTGTTAAAGAAAATACATAGTTCCAGCTTGGAAAAGGATTATAAAGGAAAATGTCAGGGCTCTCTGAGATGTGACTCGGCGCTGACGTGAGGTGGTGGTGGCTGGGAGAGAAAGTGACCCACAGGACGAGGAAGGTGGGCCACGTCGGCCCTCTCTGAGAGAGGGAAGGGTGTCCCCGCGGATGAGCTGTTCAAAGCCGAGTGTGCTGAAGGGAAAGGGAAGGATAGACTCTGTTCACCTCTTTGTTTTAGTCATCAAACAGGAATTTAGTTTCTCCTGTTAG